AAAAAATATTTCTCTGATCTAAAAACAGTTCTTTTCAAAATACCTGGAAAGAGGGTGCTAGGAGGAAAAAGACTTTTCTTAAGTAAAGGGATTAAGGAGAATACCCAACCATTTAACAAAGAGTTTACACAGTAGCCTCTCCCACACACCAGCAGATGCTAGGATCCACCCTTCTCCACAGAAAAAGGATTTATGACAAGAATGAAGGGGAGAGGGTAGGATAGTGACTTGGTTATTCAACTATTCTTGAATATTAACCTAGACTGTGTTGTAATGTATCTTTTCATTGTTCAAGATTCTAATGTTACCTAAAATTGTCTTAAGGCAGTCATGTCAGAGGGTGTGTGTTGGGGGGGGTAGGGTGGGGTGAACAGCTATCTTAATATGAACACTTCTCTACAATCTAGAAATGCTTGCTTAAATGCAACAAAATTGTTTGTGGTAGACTTGTACCAAGGCATGAAGAGTATAGTATCACTAGTACTATTTTTTCTTTGACAGTGGTGTAGTAGATAGAGCACTGGATTTGGATCCAGGAATATTGGAGTTTAAGGCCTGCCTCAGCATCTCCTTAGCTGTGTCATACTGGACAAGTCACCATGCCTCAGTTTCCTCATTTGTAAAATGTGGATAAATAATAACACCTCGCTCAGTTTGAGGTTCACATGAGCTAACATGCAAAGTGCAAAGCACTCTATAAATGTTAGTTATTTTCATTATTAGTCTAAAATCTACCAACTTTGTGGTTGGACTGTCCTCATCAGGGGATTATATACCAAAAGAGTATTAAATCAAAAAACCCATCAATTTGCATGGAAATTTGCCTTTGAAGACAAAGAAGTGTACACTACCCCAGTTACTTTCAGGATTCACAGCTCTGAACTCCCCACATACACTATTTCATGAGCATTTCTGGATTTAAGGGAGAGAACACAGGTTTGGCTCATGGACAACTTACATAGTTTAATTTACTGATTTCAAAACAAAGGCTAGATCAAGGTCATCTGCCAGTCTGTAACATAGTCCCTTTCTGTATTGATATGGAACATGTTGCACAGGGCTAGGTCTATCCAGGAGCTGGAGAGCTTTTCCAGGACTGCTGAATGGCCTGAATGCCCCAAACAGTAAGGATTAAATTATTTTATATTTAGGAGTAAACAAAGAGTTATGGGACTTAAAAATGCACTAATATTGGGTAAATAAATCTCAGACTTTGAATACATCAATCATGACCACTTTGGTTCTGTTTATCATTCTCTCTTCTTCTCCCAAGGGAAAAAGGTGGTTGTCTTAATAAAAGTCAAAATACATCAATTAAATAGGCTACGGGATTGAAATCTGAAGTGTCAATACTGGGTACAGGCTTACTAAATAAATACTATCAGCAGTCACATCTATACCTTATAGGTGCTGAATAACTTCTGTCCCATTGGATAATCCATATATAAAAGCATCACCAACTATATTAACTCAAGTTAATACTGTCCTCATCAGGGGTTTATATACCAAAATATATACTAAATGCATTAATACATGAACTCATATTAAACTTAATATTAATTCAGCTATGCAGTTTTCTATTATTGCTTACGAATTAATTTCATAGGCAAGACACTGAATTTAAGTTTGGTTTTAGAATCTACTGATGTGGAATGTGGCAAGTCAATTGTTTCTTAGCACCCGCAGGAAAACTGGGGCAAAAACTCCCAAGTATTACTGGCTGTGTTTCACTGTGTGCATCTGGCAATGTGTCATAATGCTCAGGGGGCTGGCTGGCCTTGAAGCTGGGAAAACGTGGGTTAAAATCTCACCTTTGGCACATAGGGGTTGTGTGACGCTAGGCAAGGCTAGGCAAGGCTAGGCAAGGCACTTAAGCACTCAAGGTTCCAGACAACTCTCTAAGGTTATAAACTGCAGACAAGGTGCCAATCTATATTGGTAGAGGGAGTTTCCTCATCTGGAAGTTCCTTATGACATGAAAATCATAGGTCGGGTCCCTATTCCTATCTGAACACTTTAGATTTTTTTTTATGAGCCTAAGCAATATAATTTCACCTATGCTCATTGGAAAACAACTTTTTTGAATGTCTGCAAATATAGTTAGTTGTCCTTATTAGGGGGTAAAACAGCCAAAAGATATTAGCTAAACAAGCTGCCAACATTAGCTTAGGAGTAAGAAATAAACACCAACACAACTGATTATTTTGCCAGATTCTACAACCACCATTTCGATGACTTCCTTTCTCCTTGGCTTAAAAAAGAGTATTCTCTTGTTACTCGTTAAATAGAATTTCCCCATTCGGTAATGCTCAGCCAGTTTCTCCCAATCTTATGCAATACCTCAACCCTCTCCAGGCCAGCAATGCCCACTCAGTAACACAGGTGAACCATCTCAACTGGCCACAAATGCACTGGAATTTCACCTTTTTTGGTTATTACCTTTCTTCTTGAGAGATGGAAGATGTGATGTCAATTCAATAAATAACTCCCAAAAACTGTTTGACCCTCTCAACAAGGGCTGAATTCCCTTAATTTCTGCTTCAGGCCAACATTCTTCTTTCCCAGCCAGCTTTCAGCAAAGAAATCCAAACAGGGGATCAGAGGTGGGGCTGTAAAAGTGATCTTTATCTCTGAGTCTTGTTTTTTCCCCTCTACACAAATTCCTATTGTTTAAACCTGAAACTAATTTTAAATGTTCTCCAGGTCAAGTGCATAGCTCATAAACAGAATTTATATGAGATCACTAGATTGCTACCTGAAAGTTGCTAGGTTTGGGGCTTTTGTAACGAAGGGTTCTTGGGGGAAGAGGTACCAAATGAAGCCTTCTACTCCGAAGGGGAAAACCCAATCATGGTAAAAACACTGGTTTTCCCAAAGCCCCAGTGGAGAAAAGTTGGGTTGAATTTAGGGCATCAACTGTGGCAATGTCCAGGTAAGAATAAGAAAATTTCCTTTATCTTTATTCTTGGTGCTAAATGCACATGCTACCTATCAACTGGCAATCTGGCTGTCTCAGCAGCAGGAACCAGCTTCATTCTTGAGGAATGATTTCCTTTTGTCACAATTCTGGCACAAATTCCATTCACATTGGTGAACAGTCAACAAAGCTTCACTCATTCAGTGTGACACACAAAATTTATGACATCTGTCTCAGGAATGTAGCTCTGAAAAGCCTCAGTGTCAAAAAGTATGCAGAATGGAAGGAATGCTCCTCACACTGCTCCACACATTTCTGATTTCTTTCAAAACCCCGAGTCTCTAATTTTGGAAGCAATGGCACGAAGCTTGTTTAACTCACTTAATACTTTAGCCCTTTTTGTTTTCATTGGGACATTCCAAAGTCTCTCCTAGACAGCTGCAACCACTTCCTGTAGCTTGAGAGAAAACTCAGTAACACAGGGAGATCTCAGGAGCCATTCAAAGGGTGAAAGTTAAGATCTGAGCAGTTGTAGCTAGGCAGGGCATTTTTCTGGCAATCCTGGATACCTATGTCCTATGGTACCATGGAAACAGTGATGGAATTGGCAGCAGAGGACCTGGGTTCAAATCCTAATTCAGCTACTTACTGGCAGCTAAGTGAGAATAGTGGATAGTGTTGGACTTGGAGACAGGAAGACCTGATTTCAACTCTGGCCATGGGCCAGTCACTTACCTACTCTGTTCCTCAGTTGCTTCAGTTCCCTCATCTGTAAAATGGGGATAACAACAGCACCTACCTCTCAGGGTTGTGGTAAGGATCAAAGAGAATATATGTGTGTGTGTGTGTGTGTGTATATGTAAATGCTTTGCAAATCTTAATACATTCCATAAATGCTGCTGGGTGGCATGCCAGGCCTGGAATCAGGAAGACTAATCTTCCTGATTTCAAACCTGATCTCAAACACTTAATTAGCTGTGTGAGCCTGGGCAAGTCACTTAACCCTGTTTGCTTGTTTCCTCATTTGTCAAATGAGCTGGAGAAGGAAATGGCAAACCACTTCAATGCTTTTGCAGAGAAAACCCCAAATGGGGTCACAAAGAGTCCCACACAACTGAAAAACAATTATTACTATTCAATGTGTGACCTTGGGCAAGTCACTTAATTTGAGAAGTGAAGCTTACTTTTCTCATTTGTAGAATCTGAGAGTTGGACTAGATGACATGACCTTTTCCAGTTCCATATCTATGATCATATAGACTATTGTGACCAATCATAGGTTTAGTTCCTCCTTAGAGGCATCTGAAATGCCTCTTGCTTTGGGTTTTCCTTGGTCTGTAGAAAATTTACCAATTGTCATGCTCATGTCTTGAATGATTACAGAATTCTAAATTTAGGAGCTAGAAGTGCTCTCATGAAATAATAGCATTCATTTTCTTCCCTCTCTTCCTCTAGCTTTGGCCAAGTAAAATATTTATTAATCTTGTTTTATAGATGAGTCAACTGAGGCCTGGAAAAGACCACAGATCTAGAGCTTAAAGGGACCCTAGAGGCTACTCTAGTCCCACCCCCTCCTTTTACAAATAAGGAAATGGAGGCCCAGGGAGCTTAAGTGATTTAAGAATTTCAGCTCCAAGAAGAAAACAGCTATTAAAGTAAACTCTTAAGTAAATTCTAGTCATTTGGACAGCAACAGGAAATTTGGTGCCATTTGTAGTTATAATGTGTCAAAAGGGCTAAAAACACTTTAATGTTGGCTGTCTGCAGGGGAAGAAAACAATTAGAAAATTCTGGAAATTTGTGTGAAGGACTGTCATTTATCTGTGTCCTAATATATACACATATGATTAAGTGGCAACTATGCCAACAGTTATCACACACTGCATATGACTTTTTAAAGAATCATTTTCCATTTTTGGTTGTTTCACTGCATTTATGCTGCCTTCATAAACCTAAACCCAATTTTCAGTTGGACTTTACCACGGAGTCTTGTTTAGGGAAACAACGCAGTAATGGGTACAGAAAAATTAAACAACACAATCCAGATTCACAAAATGGAATACAAATGACAAAGACTACCCAATTTAGAAAATGTCCTAAAATGTGCATTTTTATTCCATATCATTATACAATGTTTACATAGTTATAACTTTTAAAAACTGCTCAAGAGTGTGTAAAATAAAGTGAGGCAAATACCGATTTTTAATCCCCCCAACACAAATAAGAAACATTTTTCCCTACCAATTTCATGTAGTGCCTAAATTAATCTTTCATTTTAACATGAAAAACCAGAAAAAAAAAGATTGGAAATTCATTCAGAAATGCTGCCCTACAATTTGTAATGAGCTGCAAGTGTGCAAGTATACTGAAGTCTTAAAATATCTGTGTGGCTTACAAATCTTTTGTTGATGTTTTCAACGGAATTCAGGCATAGAAAGTCCAAATTCTCATCTCGTAATAAAACTCAGACAAAATAAATTACTGCGCTGGACAGAATTCTAAATTGTGTAATATCAAACAAAAGACCACAGAAGTACCTTTTGCTCAAAGTAGCACCAGTCCACACCTGACTGTGTTTCCAATGTTAATCTTGTTAAATACAGAGTTGGCACTTGAAGTAGAAATCGTTCTGCTTTAGTGAGGATTCCTGGACTGCACATACTGTGTTGCTATACTCTCTACAAAGTGTAGGCAACATTATACTGGGAAATGGCACATTTAAACCATCATCACCCTGACCTGTCTAAGGCTTGCCCTTTTCTGCTGTTCCCCTAATGTCTGGCCGGTATTTTGCAGATGTTTCCGTGACAGTGGTAAAACAAAATTAAAACAAAAACAAAAACAAAAACAAAAACCAAAAAACAAATGAAAGGGGTTTCATGGCAAGCAGGTGTTTATAAAAAAAAAAGGTAAGAATGTGGTCGCTGCTAAGGAGGTTTTCACATGTTGTTTAACTCCAGTAAAGTCTGATCCAGCATCTGATGCATACTAAGATTTTCTTCCTTGGCATGTGCCACTTTCTCTGTTATGGGATTAGAAAATTAAGACATCAATAGCAGCTCTTTGGATACACTGATGCTCTAATACATTAAAGCATGCAAATAGTCAAACATGAAGAGCAGATTTAGATGATTGGAACCAGGCATGCTCATAATACACTAGTCATGGTTTTCAAATTGATAAGGACCTGGAAAGAGGTATGGTGGCTTAGGCAAAATGAATTAGAGAATTACAAGTCCCCCAGGGTGCCCCTACGTTTACAAACTGTTCTGAGTAAATGTATGTAGGTCAGACTTGGTAAAGGGTCACTAATTATTTACTATGGGAATCAATACATAGAGAGGGAAAAACCAAACATAACTGACTTTGCTAGGTAAAATGGAGATTTAACAAAGTCATTTGTCACCTACTTGCCAAAATGGGGCTAAACTGAAATCTGAACCCAGGTCCTCTGATTTGGGGCACCTAAGAGTTTTGGAAATGGCACCATAACTCAACCTTTCAGAAAGTAAGAATGAAATAATGAGGGTTTATAATGCAAAGTCAAATGAACCATTTCTCCTGCTAAAAGATTATCAACAATTAAAGAGTTATGTTGCATGCACACTTCATTAGGACATAGTCACAATACTCTTCAAGGACACTGAACATTAGCACAAAATTCTCATTTGACAGACTTCCAGATTCCACCCATGCTATGAGACTGAAATAAGCATGTCTTTCAGCCAATCTGAAAAGGGACCTTTACCTGGACATTCTTTTCAAAGCCTGGGTTGTCTGAACATGGATATATTGAATCATAATTCATACAGGGCATGGTATGTGAAGCAGATAGCTACTGTCTGCTTTGGCTTTGAGAGTGAGAGGTGGGCTCACACCTGCTCTTTAGTTAGCAGTAGACAATTCAGAACCATGTTACACTATTCAAAACAGGGGGCCATGGAGGAGTGCTGAACTGACTGTAGGATGTATATGTAACCATGTAGATTTCTATGTATTTTTAGCAAAATATTAGACTGGAATTGAAGTCAAGAGACAAGGGAATTATTCCAGTGAGAATAGAGGAAAGGGTAGACAACACCAGCCTCTCGGCTAGATTTCTCTTGAATGTCTCCAGAACTGACCATTTTTGACCCCTCACAATGGTGAGTATTGTAATCCATAGGCTTCTTGCATATGGAGTACATTTCTAAAATTCAACCTTACTGAAATGTTACAGTTTAAGTTATAAAAAATGACGTGTCTTTTGCACTCAAGGTTAATCCTCATTCAGGGCCAGCTTTAGTTCATTAGTTAGGCGGCGGTTTTGCTCAAGTTGCTGGTAGAGTTGGTCTGTACAAATCAGCAAGCACGTTAGCAGAGAAAAAGAAAGGCAGAATGAATAGAGGGTTAGTCAGAGAAATAATGGGAGCGGGAGTTAATAGAGAGAAAACAATCACACCCCGGGCAGTTGGGTAACTGGTTACTTCTTGAGAACATGTAATTTACCTTCAGCCTCATCATCAGTCTTGTACACCGGTATGGCTGATGATTAAAGCCCAATACAAAGTCCTGAGGAAGGACAGCTCTGACAAGGCTAGAAATGTCAGAGGGCCAACTCTTGGATGAGAGAGAACAGGATACCAGGACGAGAAAGAATCAACACTCATACCAAGAACGAACACTCATACACCTTGTCTTACCACACAAGACAAAGTCATATATAGTTTCTGAAAATAGGCTCAGCCTCAAGTTAGGCATGGGGGCTGTGCTCATCAGACATAAGCCTAGCAAAAGAACAGGAGAATCTAGTTGGTCACTTCTACCCCCCAAAGTTTTGCAAGCATCTGTCCACCAAGTCTTTACAGTGCAATACTTACCTTTTCCCTCATCACCTACACTGACCCTCTACCCCCTCTAAGCCCACAGCACTCCACTCAGGAAATTAAAAAAAAAAAAGAATCCGAGAGTTTGCTTTTTCCTTCAAAAGAAAACCAGCAAATAAAAACAAAAACAACCCACCTGCCTTATCTTTTTCTACTAAAAGGATGCATGATGTAAACATTGTGGACGAAAGAAAGAGGAGGTAGAATGCAGTTCTTGCTGGTTCAAATATTGATTAATCACCTCTACCACCATCTCTGTAGGAGAGTGGCTGGAAACAGATTTCTTCCCCAAAGACCTCAGATTTACAGAATTTTCGGGTTGCAAGGAACCTTAAAGAGGTCATCTATTCCACGTCCTTATTTTACATATAAGGAAACTGAAGCCTTGAAGAGATTATAGGTCTCACCCAACTCACAGACAGCTAGGAAGATGCAAGAACAAGGTTTGCAGCCTACATTCTTGCAGTTCAAATACAGCCCCCTCTGCCTTAGTCTTGAGGATTCTCAACTAAGGCTCTTAGGAACTGTCACGTAATTCCATTATGAGAATTAAGGAGGATGTGGGAAGCTGTAAGATTCCAGTATCAGATCTTACCATGCCACACAGGATGTAGAAACATATTGGCAAGAGGCTGGAATATGACAAATGTTTCATTTCAAAATGGAATTTTCTTTTCCAACATAAGACAGACAAGTGAAATTCCTGATAAATCTGTGCCAATTTTCCCTCTTCTCCCCACTATGAGTGTGTGTATGTTTTAAAACTGAGTTTTAAGTTTAGAGCTAAATGAAAGGTAAATTATAAATAACCTTGGTAACAACAACCAAATTTAATATGTAACATATATTAACATAATTACCTTAAGTTGCTGGTATCTGTCCCCCATCTTGGGGTGAGGGAGACAAAATATAATTGGTTTTAGGGAACAATTCAGGGATGTTAAATGCCTACTGCATCAATTTCCTCAGGAGGACAGCAGAAAAAAACGAAACCTTCCTAGTTCCTCTGATTCTGCAATTCCTTTCTACTCATCATTGTGGTACTTCACAATGCCTTTTTTTTTTTAGAGGATATATATATGTTGAAGGACTTCTATCTAACACTAAAGAGAAATAAAAAAAATTGAGTTGCTAATCCAGGGCTTTGGGGGAGGTGGTTTGGGCATGCTCCTATTTTTAAGTTGGAAGGCAGAGGACATTTTATACAAACATGGTACCAGAATCCAAACATTTTACTTTTGAGTACAGATTTAAAATATATGCACACTGCACATTTCTGTCCTAAACGGTCCTAAGCTTCATCTTCATTGACTGATAAAATGTCAAATACATGGACAATTATCAGCATTTCAATGACATTTGCTCTGGAACACCTGAACAGATGGGGGTGGAATAAACATTTTACATTGCAACATAATATACCTGCTGCCAATGCTACAAGGCAGATAGGTGACACAGTGGGTAAAAGTGATGAACTTGGAGGCTGTAAGGTCTGAATTCAAATCCTGCCTCAGCTATGTGGCCCTGGGCAAATCATTTAACCTCTCTGTGCCTCAGTTATCTCATCTGTAAAATGTGAATAATATAATACATACCTCACAGAGTTGCTATGAAGATTAAATGACATATGTATAGCACTTCACAAACCTTAAAATGCTATATAAATGCACTTAAATATTAATAACAATAACATTTAAAATAATCACATAATTATTATGTAATTATCAATACATTCATCATAATAATTATTATTAAGCTAATACCTGCTAGAATTGAAGTGTGACCTAGGACATGATGAAGATCATCAGAATACATAAGAATACACACCAAAATGGAAAGTGGTTGTGCTCAGCCCAGGAAAAATTGATTAATGGACCTAATTTTTAATGAAGGAAAAATGCGATGGTGACAGCCAAGGAGCAGATATCCTACATAAACTTTAAAAAGATGGCAGTCCTGAATCAGGGAAAATGATCAGTTGCCAAATCTAAGGTCTAAGGGCATGCACATTTTTTAATAACAGTCCATGTAATCTATGAAATCTGTATGCTGGGAGGGGAGGAAATTCATTTTTTATGATTAAAATTATTGCTCAAATCCACTAGCGTGCCACCCTCCAGTAGTCAGTTACATAATGGTAGTAACAGCAGTCAAGTGGTTAGACCTCTACGGGCCTCCTAGTTTGTGTGTGCTAGTTAGTTATATAATCCGCTCCTCTTGTTATCTTTGAACTTTCTCCTAACATCCTGGGTTCCAGTGGAAGTAAGAGTGGTTGCCTGGGTGGTAGCTTCCTGGGAATCAGATTAGATATATTTGCACACAAGACCACAGGCAGATCATATTCTATAAGAGAAGACAGTCTTCTCCCACCTTTCAAGGAAGTGTTTGGGAATAGTTATCAACTTGGTGCCAACTTGCCTGCCAACCAAAACTTAGCTTGCCTTTGGTACCTTTCGAGGCACTGCCAAGTTTATTCTAAGAGGTCTATGGGGACATCTGTATAAATAAGAACTGAAATTTGGTCGTATGCTAAATAGTTCTAAATATTATATCACTCTTCTCCCTCTGCTCCCCCTGCCACCAACCGTTACTTTGCATTCTTGGTTCCATCTTGGGCTACCTTTCCAATCTTTGAGTCTCTCTTCTCCCCTCCTCTCCTCTCATAATGCTTAAAGAATACTTTCAAGTCTTGGGAACACCTTCTAAAAATAGAGGCACCGCAAGTATAGCTTTAGATATTAGAAAGCATTCAGGGATTATCTGGACATTTACTAAAGCAGGAGCTCTTTTGTTTAAGGCAGGAAGCCACAAGGGGTATACTATCACTTTCTTTTTTGAATTAAAATTAGAAAGCAAGGGCCCCAGGCCAGAAGAACCATAAACCTTTAGGGGACAAACAAAACAAAACATTAACTCAAACCATAAAATTTCTTCTCTGGAGGGAGAGATTGTCCAGATTCCAGATAAAAGAAAAACTTTTAATACCATTGTCAAAAAATCAGACATACCTCAATTCACAAACCATATTTTTTTAAAATGTAAGAAACTATATTTCATATCCTGGAGTCTAAAGAGCAGCTGACATTATTTTTGAAATTATTCTTATGTTAATAAATTATAGTGACATCCATAAAAGTCCTCCTTTCAATACCTCATCGGAGCATGGAGGTGATTGTGTTCTCTTAGGCTAAGCCAATGGAGAACAAGCTCTGGTCAGCCCTACCACGTGGGAAAGGTTTCAAGTATGGCCCTAGGAACAGACCCTGCCTACTGTCCAAAGACTAGCCCCACTAAATATGGAGAGGCTTACCCCACCAGCAAGTGGCCACTGGAAGAAGAATTCTTAATGTGTAGCAACCCAAGAAAGAGGAGCACATCCACTATTTTGGATCAATGAGAAAAAAAAAACCCTAAACATTTTATACACACACAAGAGCTCAGGACTTGAAAACAAAGGGGGAGATATATATATAGCCAGCTGGTGGTGGTGGGAAAATGCCAGGAATGAAAAGAAGAGAAAATAGTGCTTACAAAGTTCTAAATTTCTAATAGTTTTTTAAAAGGTAGGAAATAAAAATTTTTTAAATAGCTGCTCTTAGATAGTGTTATCTAACATCCTCTCCATCACCCTCCCCCACCAATTTTAAATAGGAAAAACAAAACAACTTTTAATGGCCACTCCTTAGAAACATTTAAGGTATTGCAAATACAGCTCCTCAGCCCAGTGATAGCAAAAGTGGAGCCCCTCTACCTAAATAAATGAAGTAGAATCATGATTTTCACTTTTGACTCAGTATCACATGATTCAGAAAACCCAAGAAGACATTTTCAGGATGAAAATGAAGAAAGGCAACTGGGCATAATGAATACATTTAAAATGCTTCAACTCTTCCTACAATGCAAGAATACTCAGCCTCTCATTTTGGAGCTCATGATCCTTTAAGTTAAGTTTTATTTGACAAGTTCAAACATGGGTTTATAAGATTTGGAATAAATTCAAAACTGCACAGTGTCTGGTACACAGTAGGTGCTTAAAAAATGCTTGATGATTGATTGAAATAGATCTTGCATGACAGAATCATGGTGACAAAAACTCAAATTAAACGAAACGAGACTGAGATATTAACAGTAGGCTAACCTAGCTCTCACATGAACTAAGGTCTGTAGGCTAAAGAGTAAGATTTTATGATTTCCAAAAGGACTAATTTTTATGTACAATGCTGACAGGAGAGGAATGAGAAATGGAGCAGCCCCAAATAAACCCCTTGTGGCAAGAAGCAGATTTTCAGTTTTATTCAGTGTTCAAACTGCTCAGCCAATAAATAGAAGGTGTAAAAGGAATAGCAAAACAGATACAGCTTACACACAGGTGTTTATTTTACATCGAAAGAAAGAGCTTCTGTACAATAGAAGGCACAGGGACAGCCTTGCCCTGAGGCAGGATGCTAAAGGAAGACAGAATCAAGGTCAGCTGGAGGACACGACAATAAACCTGAGAAAAACTGCAGAGCTCAGACAGGTGGAACATCCAGCTTGATGAAGGAGTCTTGAGAGAGGTGAAGCAAAGAAATTTATCTGCATGAAGATAAAAAGGTGGGAGGGAGGGAAAGAAAAGTGGCACAATGGAAAAAAAAGGAAAAATAAAAAAATAGCAATAATAATATGACAGAACTCAGCATGCAACACCAGTTTGGCAGAATTTACAGTAGCGTTCTAGCACAAATTCAAAGCTGTTCTAAGGATCCCCCTGGTTGTTAAATTGTTAGATTAAAAAAAAATACATTAGTAGGACTACCAAAGTGAGTCTTAAGATAAGTGGCCACCACTACAGAATCTATACTAATGGGTACAAGGCTTTTGTTTTTCTCAGTATTACTGAGCATTAGAGCTTAGCACAATGCCTAGCATATAGCGGGATGCTTAATAAGTGTCTGTTGATTGATTAATTCGAGCTGGGAGAGATTATCTTATTCAAACCCTTCATTTTACAGATGTACAGAGCTGATGGACTGGACTCAGTCTTCCCAATCCATAATAAAGTCTCTCAGTCTTTAGAGACTTAGAGATTATCTAGCTCTTCTTTGAATATGAAGGTGCTATAAATATGAAAGCAAGAAACTGTGAACTGCACACTTGAAGCCACCGTGTTTTCTGAATGGGATACAGTAGGAAGGTTACAGAATGTGATGTTCTTGGCATTACAAAACTGTCCTTGAGGAATCTGTTAGGCTAGAATTTGAAGGTGGAAAAGTTACGATTGAGATGCTGCCATAGTGTGCAAATCAGTTTAGTAATGTTTAGTTCTATACATTCCTTGAAATCACACAATGTCAGAGCTAAAAGGGCCCTTAGAAATCATCCAGTTTAGGGGCAGCTAGGTGGTGTAGTGGATAGAGCACCAGCCCTGGAGTGAGGAGAAGCTGAGTTCAGATCTGGTCTCAGATCAGATAGCTGACACTTACTAGGTGTGTCACCCTGGGCAAGCTGCAAGTTACTTAACCCCAACTGTCTCACTGCCCCCCTCCCAATCACCCAGTTTAATGCCTTCATGTTACAAGAAGAAACTGAGACTTAAGAGATGTAACTAATTTTCTTCATGTCACATAGCTAGCTAATAAGCAGTGGCTTGAATCCAGGCCTTTGTCACCTGTGGCTTCCCCTTTCATGAGACAGGACAGGATCTTAGACTATGAGAGCATCCGAGGCCTCTCTGGCCCAACCCTTTCACCTTATAGGTATGTTAACCGAAGCCAAGAAAAGTGAGGTGACCTGCCTGAGGACTCATGGCCAATTAGTGGCAGAGCGAGGCCCAGAACCTAGTCCATTATTCTTTTCATTTCACACAAATGCCTTTTAGAAGGCTACACATGCTGGTGGTGGGGTCCTGAAAGAGTAATAGAAAAACTGGGTCACTAAATTCAGGATTTAAACTGTAGCGTCTATTTGTTTCCTCTTCCTCTTTGAAGGGCTGTAATTTTGATACATTAATGTAATGGAGGCCATTTAAATCTTTTAAAAAATACGATTCAACTTGGAAACCAAGGGGGTCAAGTTAGTACTGTCTGAAATTCTTAGCATACAAAAAAAGTCAAATCAATTTGTGAGTTAATACCATTTCATGAAATACGATACAGTGGAAAGAAAACTAGATTAAAAGCTTGGAATCCATGGGTGACCCTGGGCAAGTCACTGCCCAGCTCTCAGCCCCAATTTATCCATCTGTAAAATGAAGGGCTTGAACTAGATGATTGCTAAGGTTCCTTCTAGCTCTAAACCCTATGACCCCCATGTTAATAATTTTCCTCCTTTTTTTGGGTAATGTATCATCATTCAAAAAAAAAAGTATCTTGTATAATGTAGCTCTTAGTACACTTATTTTTCTTCCATTCTGGGAAAATTACTCATAAATAGAACTATTTTTATAGTTTAATTTTTTTAGAGAAACCTTGCTCAATGAATGAACACACTTCACTTTTAAAAGATGCAAACAGCTTGTTACTGAGAAGGAAAAAGTGATGTTAAAATTCTTAAGGTAAAACCTATAACTGGAAGAAAATGCCCTATGACAGACCTAACTAAATTTACCTTTGCTATTAAAGAATGATACTGATATTGGACTTCTAAATTTATGCAAACAGAAGGGTGATATCTAAACAAACAGAGGCAATGAGGGGTTAACACAAAAGCAAAATAACTCAAGGCTTGCAGATGGGATGGGGATTTGCAGAGATTGAAGCAAAGGGGGAGGGGCTAGCAGCGAGCTTGCACCAATAGGAGTTCACAGAAGCAGGCAGGCAGAGAAGAAGGTAATTTACATTGAAGTCATGTCGTTGAGAGCGTGGTCCAGTTCTTCACTGATTGCTTTGTACTTCAGCTTCTGAGCATAGAGCTCATCTATAACCGTGAAGTGGAAGGCAGAGATGCAAGGGCGTGGAAGGTGGAGGGTGATCAGATGAAGGGTGAAGGAGGTAGCATGGAGACCATCCAGAAACAGCAGCAAGAAAAAGGCAATGCATGAAGGAAGTGGTGGCAATAGGTGGCCGGAAGAGTAGGAGGATTTAAAATAAAAACAAATAACAACAAATAACCATTAGAAAATGAAATGAGAATGGCTTGATATGATAAATCATAATCAAACATGGCGTCAGTAAGCCACATGAAAACTTAAATAAAACAAAACTAAAAAGTATACTGGGTAGATAGTGAAACATTCTTTTATAGAGCTGTATTTTAATTACACTGAATAGCTACCAATCTGCATCCAGAAACACTGGTAGGGAGATTTCCAAGGCCAATGCTTAGGTGAAACTCTTTGTAATTATAGTCTGGCAGCCTTATCTTGCCCTGCCTTAAAGTCACCAACTTCCTGACCAAACTAGAGTCATGGGGGTATGGATTTCTTGAAGTGTCATTTAAGCCACCTATCTCTCTGCCCATTCTGCTGTCCATCCAAACCCACTGGGCATCATTCCTGCTCCAGAAGGGCGGAGTGTGCTGCTTGTTCATTCTACAGCAGTGCACTCCGTGGTGACTTAAACTTTTAATCTTCTACCTTTTGCCTGGATGAAGCTTTCTCAGTTTGGGCCTAGATCATTTTGCAAATGTCACTTTTTCTGCTTCAGTGCCTTGTTGTACTTTCTGCTATCTGTCCTATTCTGTTTCAAATGCCTACTTTTCTCTTCCCTAAGAGTCCTAGACTCACTCACTCTCTCTCTCTCTCTCTCTCTCTCCTCTCTCCTTTTCCTTCTCCTGTTTCTTCTCCTCTCCATACATACATACACACAAACATACATGTATACACACACTTACACAAGCACTAATGTACATAATAGATTTAAAGTTGACCCATCATCTTTCAGATCTCAACATCAACTTTCCACACACAGAGACCAAACAGTTCTAAATGAACTCAAAGTAAGCAGATCTAAAAGTGTAAAGGCAACAGTCTGAAAATATCAGGAGGAAAAGAGGAGCAAGAGCAAAATAACTGCCCACCTAAACAATGAATTAAGGTTGATAAATTTGGGCTGGAAAAGAAATTTTTATCAAGTCAACTTTCAGCTGGAAAGATGAACATCCCTCGCCCCACTCAAGCAGGAAGTAAAAAACCCTAAAGAAGTCTTACCTTCTAAGTCATCAATGCTCTTTTCCAATTTGGTTACTGACCTCTCAGCAAATTCAGCCCGAGTCTCAGCCTAGAATGATTCAGTTCATATAAGTTAATAAAGTTTAACTTTCATGTAGTTGCAAATATGGGGACAACTAGAGTATGAATATCAAGCAGCGTAATGTAGGGTATAAAGGTGGTATCTAGTATCATGTATAATCTTAGGGCAATCACTGATGGCAGGACAGCACATAGACTCTAAGGGTGCCCTATAAATATAAATAGTGATGAACACATGGTCATCAGCACATAGTTTGAAGCTTTATAACCTTAAAATGAATGTTTGATGCCCACATATCTCCACTTAAAGTTCAGCAAATAAATTCTACTCATACTCTTTTTACCTCTTTCAGTTTGTCAGAAAGGACCTTGATTTCCTCTTCATATTTGTCTTCCTTTTGTGAGTACTGTAATTAGAAAGATTATTCCACATGTCAGGCCAAAGTTCACTATAAACATGTGTTTTCCCCATACCTAGAACCACATGCCTGCCCTCCCCCAAAGCTGTTAAGGATCACTCAGATATGGGTATAGTTGAACTTCAGATACTAACAGCAGACTGTAATAAAGCTTTCCTTGAGCCACTCTGTTTTACATGGAGAACCAGCCACTGGTCATCATTTATCCGCATGGAACTTAAAAAAAATTCATTGCTGAATATAACTCACAAATCTAACATAATCTTTTCATTTGAAAGAAAAATCAAGTTTCTTATAGTCCCCTAGTGGTAGACTCAGAATTTAGCTATTTCCTGAAACACCTGCTGAGTCGTTGCTTTAAGTCTGTGGGGACATCAAAGAGAAATGTGGGGCTGCTGTTGTGAATACTTTTTTTAAAAAGTGCTTTCCCCCGACATCATGCTTCTGGCCTACCTTCTCAGCCTGAGCCTCCAGTGACTTCAGGTTGTTCGTCACAGTTTTCAACTCTTCTTCAAGCTCGGCACATTTGCTATTATTTCAGAACAGAGGCGGGAAAGGTGGGGAGGGCAGGAGATCAAATCAAGCCAAAGAAAGGATAGCGGGAGAAAAAAAGGAGAGAGATGGAGAAAAATGAAAATTGAGTTCTAGAGACAAAGAGCAGCCTTAAAGTAGCCAAACCATCACAGGTTAAAATGCTCGAATTCTTCAAAGTCATTCATTGCCCCCCAACTTGGTAAAAAAGCAAGCTGGGGCTTAGTGTGAAATAATTAAAATAGCTTTTAAGTGCGATGACTCGGCTTCTTTTATGCTGCACCAAAGATTGTTTATGAAGGAAAAATAAAGAATCAAAAAAGGACCAAAAAGAAAGCACTTTAAAGCAAGATATAAGAGACAGCAAAGGGTGTAGTGGAAGTGAAGTCATTACTACCAAATGAACCAGTAGGCGATGAAAGCTGAAAGATTGTTGGGTGGCAGTTAAACCTAAGAACCATACAATAGCCATCAGTACCTTATCCTCTGCAGCCATTAATGCTTTCAAAGTCTGATCCATAATTCTTAATTGTTCTTCCAGCTGTCGGACTTGGCTGTTAGTGAACACATGAAATGCACAAGGCCATTCACAAAATCAGTGTGCAAGTAAATGCATGCAGTGATCTACGCAGTCACACAGACACCCCACACATATGTCCTCCTGGTTTCCACGCTCATGGTTCATCCCAGTTAAATGAGCAAACAGGGAGCTTCGAGCTGAAAACAAGTAAACGTGTAACTGCCAGTAGGTCATGCTGTTTAGTCACTGCTTGGCAGCACCCCACACACATCCTGGTGGCACTCAGGTCACTTACCCTTCTGAGAGCTCAGCACGCTCTTCCGCACGCTCCAGGTCACTCTCAATGATGACCAGTTTCCGGGCCACCTGTGGCAAGACAAACCCAACACCCCCCAACACACATCAGGCCATAGACAAAACCAGGTAGCAGAAGTTTTTTGGCTGTCTTAGGCCCCTGGTGCCCTGTGTTTCATAATGAGTGGAGGTCAAGGATAATTCATTCTTCCCTGACTAGAATGAAGCAATGAATTTCTGCTTGGTGTTCCTGACAAAAAAGAAAGCCACCAGAGGCTTCTTTCTGCTTCTGAGAGCATAGAACTATAGTTTATGATTAAATGCTCTCAAATTTTAAGTGTCTGGCACAGGCAAAAACTTGGGTTATTTAGAGCAGACAGTCCAATGTGGGGTGGGTTAAGAGGGACACCAAATTCAGAATACTGAAAACAGACAGTAGGAAAGCTATAAGCTATGCATTTCCTGCAGACTACCATGTAAAGGATGAAAGAATTTTGTCTGGGATACCAAAATGCTGCATATGCCTAAAGACAGCCGCACACAATTCTAAACTACACATAATATGCTCCTTGCAAAGGGAATTGTTTCTTGGTTTTCTAGAGAGTTGGTCAAGAACGAAGAGAAGAAAACAAGAGTGATCATTTGAGTACCTTAATGTACAAGGTGATTAAGAAGTCACATCTGTGTGATCTGGAAGATAGGAATCTAAGAGACAGGTGATACTTTGAAGGCCACAGAAATAGCCAAATAATGTGCTCTGGGAACTGGCATTAAACAGAAAAATTAGGCTCAATGCTACTTCAGATTCCTCATGATGAAAGCAGCAATTGATTTAAAAAAAAAAAGGGAAATAAGAACACAGTGGAATCACTTTACAAAATGTTGGCTAAAAGGCTTTTTAAATGTATGTGCTTATATTTTATGGGACATGATTTGACCCATACATCTGAATCCACATTATAATATTGTCTTATCCTTACTTGACAACAAGGCTTTATAGTGTTATGCTAAATTTGTGTAGTAAGGGACTGGAGGTTATGGAGGAGAGGTAAAAAAGGGATTGTCTAGTTTGTCACTTGCCCATGGCACAGTCATTTGCATGTTGTTTTATGACTAGACTCAGATCAAACAGATGACTTGGGAGAGAAGCTGTTGTCCTCAGTCCTTACATCACAGTGATTTCTTTCATAGCACTCAGGATTCTGAAACTTTTTCTTTGGAGCAAAGAGGATTGCTCACCAGATACTAAATACCAGCTCTAAAAAGAGCTAAAATTTCCACTCACGATCACCTAATGGGATCCAAAAAAAACACCACCAGACATTGTTATGGACAAATGATGTGTGCTTTTCAAAGGTCCCAAGGGCTTGAGTTCTCATGTCATTCCTTCAAGAGCAGCAAACCAGTTCCTTGGTAAACTCAAGGCTTTGTCATTGTCAGAAAGTTTAGAGGTCAGAGTTAGGAGACTGAGGGGCATCAACCCTGCAATCTGTCCCCCAGCGGACACTGACCTCTTCATACTTGCGGTCGGCATCCTCAGCAATGTGCTTAGCCTCTTTAAGCTGAATCTCCTGAATTTCCATTTTCTCCTCATCCTTTTGGGCTCTGCTTTCAATGACCTTCATTCCTCTGAGAGAAAAGACAAGCAAGGAAACCCCAGATTTAGATTTTGTGTGCTTAGTATAATATTAGCAGGCCAAGGCAGAGTTCAGGGCTACCATTTCCCCTTCTAAACTATGAAGCATGACTTTCTAGGACTAAAGCTATTGGGGGTTTGGGGGAGTTAGGGAAGGAAAGGAGGGTGACAAGAAAAACAAAGGGAAAAAATAGAAAAGTGATACAAAATGCTTTTAATTCACTGTGAATTAAAATCTCATACTTTAGGTATAGAGACCAAATTGGCCAGGCATCTCATAGTAAATTAGAATTAATGTGTCAAGGTCACCATGCCTAAACCCAAACTATATAGAATAACGACAGGAAGGTATGTTTTGCTATCTTAAATATGTGCTGGGGCCAGCGTGGCAGTACACACATAAATCAATAATACCAGAGAGGCTGAGGCTGGTGGATGGCTTGAGCTCAGGAGTTCTAAGATATAGTGGGCTAAATTGATCGTTATCTGTAATAAATCTGGTATAAATATGGTGAGCCCCTGGAAGTGCATGTGTGGGAGCACCGGAATTGCCTAAAGAAGGAACAAACCAGACCAGGGTGGAAATGCAGTAAGTCAAAGCTCCCATGCTAATTACGGTGGGATCAGACCTGTAAGTGGCTGCTGGATTTCTAGCCTGGGCTAGAGAAGAAAAACCAGTCTTAAGTAAATAAACAAATGAATGAATGAATGAATAAAAATCTATGTGTCCTAGATGTTCAAAGGGTACCCTCTTTAGGAAGAAGGCAGCTACTCAGTGACAAAACATACCCCTGAAGAGGGGTGGGGTATGATATCCTCATTTAAGTCAATCTACCAGGTAGACCACCACACAGTGGTCTTTATAATGTTGGTGTAAAAAGAGAAGACAAACACCAGTTTTTATATACCACGTATAAAACAGGTGTTTGCTACATGTAGTTGTTTAGGGAATATTATGTGACTTACAGCATATACAAAGCAATGTAAAAATAAGCCATACTACGGTAGGGGATCTTTTTAAAATTTTTGATCTAAACTGTAATTTCATCTGTATATAGATTAGCACCTACTCTACAATTTATAGTTTTGGAAAATTGCCTGGGGATGCTGAGAAAGTTACAATAACTGGTCCAGTATCACATAACTACTATATGTCAGAGTTGGGACTTGAGTTGGAGACTGGCTCTCTATCTACTATGCTACACTGTGTGGTGAGTCCTATATGCAAAAAACTGGAAATAAAAAGACCAGGGTTCTTTCAGGTCTATCAGCATGACTTCATGAAAGTCATTTTGCATCCTGGAGCCCTTATAAAATAAAGGAATTGTACTACTTCAACTCTCTGTTTTCTAAAGCCCCCAGTAAAATTATTGTACGATGCCTAAAAGAATTATCATGTCATCTTTGTTTCTTCTCCTCAGACATTAGCATGGTTATTCAAGAGTTAACTGCCTATGAAATTCACTCCCTCCCTTGGAGAAAAACTAACTAAAAATTATTATAAATACATATAATCACTATAGGAACCTGAACAATAAGAAATAATCTTGAAATCTCTACCTAGAAATACACTGAGTTAAGTAAGCCCATTGATGGGGCAGTAACTATAGTTGGAATCTAAAGATAATAGAATTTTTAAAAATTCAGAGCTCCCCTGACTCCCAATTTAAAAGACTCTTAATTCTCCATCCATCCCCTACTAATCAATGCCCAGACCATGCTGCCCTCTGAAGCAAGAGACCTGTGGTAAAAGGACCTGGATTAGATGTTCCTACCTCTCACTCTCATCTGCTGCCTTTTCAGCCTCCTCCAATTTCTGCAAGGCAGTTGCCAGGCGCTCCTGAGCTCTGTCCAACTCTTCCTCAACCAGCTGGATACGTCTGTTCAAAGAAGCTACATCAGCTTCAGCCTAGGCAAGGGAAGAACAGAGTGAAAGATATGACCCCAAAGGTGGAGAAAACGTTCAAGAAACAATCTAAAATCTACATTTTAGAATTGAATCTGTAGTCTAACCAGGTGGTTGATATTTAGCATCATTACAAACTCTTGTTAACTTCATTGGATAACTATTAGATTTTCTAGAATGTGTTTATAACTAAAATAAGTTATAAGTTGTTTGTATGCCTAGACCTAGAGATATAATTTTAAATAATCGCTAATTGCTTCACTTACAGCTAAACGGGCTAATTTATAATAAAAATAGGAGCTCAGTAAAGTAACTGGGGGGCAGATGGACAGAATTAAAAAACACAAGCTCTTGGCTTCTTCATTCAAAGAACTCAAAATCTGATTCCACTGCTACCAAAAACCATCTTTGTCTCTATTTCACTGTGGGAAATTTAGGCATGGAAAGAGGAGAAATAACTTACCCAGGCTTAACCCAGGCCATAAAACATCAGGAATAGCACCTAGGAATGACAATCCTCCCTTCTGGTCAGCCTCTTGCAAAAGGGCTGTTACCTTTTGAAGGGTCCAGAATTAATCTTTATATTAAAATGCAAATAACTATGTTACACACTACCAAAATGAAGGAGGCTAACTGCTTTGTTGGGTTTTTTTAAGAAAGAAAATTATTCTTTGAATCAAGTATTTTTTTAGTAAAAAAAAAGCAAACAAGATACTCATGACTTATAAATTACATCTTTCATTCTTGAAGGTTTTGATGTATAACCAGATGGCAAACACATACCTGTTTGAAATGACTGGGCATAAGATCACAGGATTTAGGACCATAAGGGAGATAATCTAGTCCAATGCCTGATTTTAAAGGTAAAGAAACGTGATCTCTAGTGGAAAGAACATTGGCTTTCAAGTCAGAGGACCTGGGTTTGGATGCTACCTTTGATTCCTACTGCCTATATGACTTTGGGTAACTCATTTAACCTCCCTGGGCCTTCACTCAGTTGTAAAATGAGGGGTTTGCTGGGCATCATGTTGCATTCCTATATTCCTGGCTACTGGGGAGGTTGAGGCTGGTGGGTCACTAGAAACTGGGAGTTCTGAGCTGCAGAAAGGCTAAAGTCAATCTAGCGTCAGCACTAAATCTGGCATCCATCTGGTTACCTCTCAGGAAGTGTGGGAGGGAGGACAGATTGCCAGGCTGCCTGAGGAGAGGAGAACCAGCCCATGTCAGAAACAGCAGGTCAAAGCTTCCTTGCCTATTGGAAATGGAGTAATGCCCAGGAGTGGCTGGCTGCTTCACTTGCAGCCTGAGTGAGAAAAGAAACTCGAGCTCAAAAAAAAAAAAAGAAAAAAGGAATTGGTGTAGATCAGAGGTTTTTAACTTGGGGCCTGGGAACTTAAAAAAATTTTTTTTTTGATAACTGTATCTCAATATAATTAATTTCCTTTTTAACCCTATATATTTCATTTTGAGCATTTAAAAGCATTTTGAGAAAGCATCCACAGATTTCAGATTACCTGAGGGACCCAAGACAAAAAAAGTTTAAAACCTCTAGTCCAGATAGCCTCTGAATTCCCTCTCAGTCCTAGAGCTATAATGCTACAGCTAGTAGCAGTAGTAGTCTAGTAGCAAACTATAGAGGGCTGGGTTTTTAATCCAGATCTTCTGACTCCATATTCAGTCCTCTGCTACATGACACTGCTTCCCAGCATCAACAGAATGATTTTGTATAAAGCTCACTAAAAGTCAATGGGGTTTGATACTGTGCATTATCAAAATGCAAATCAACATGAGTTAATCAGCTCTCATTTAACTATGTTCACTTTGGAGAGTAGGGAGAAGGATTTGGAGTGGATAGAACTACGCTTTATAAACTTCACTCTGTATTTAACTTGGGTTCAAACAGGGAAGAACCTAGTGATTGCCACTCACAGTTCTGAATCAGTCTTCCGAGACAGAATGCTAGATTTCAAAGCAGTTGGAATGCAAAACATTACTAAAACAATGGATCCTAAAACAATCAAACTTTTTTGATAATCGAAACAATCATGGGTTTTCATAATTTGAAAATTATTTACAAGTAAAGGCTGCTTTGGGAAAATGCCAGCAAAGTTTCAAAGGACTAAGGAGGAAGTCATCTCAAATACTATGTTTTTTGTGCATTATCTCTCAGATATAAAATGTTGCTTTCCTGGCACTTAAACTGTTGCTGTCTAGGATTCTGAAACTCAGACATTTACATCGGTGTTTAGCTCGGGGTGCATGTTTTGATTTGTGGCTATTTTAATATTCATGAACCTGAAGAAATGGAAATCATAGCATTTTCCATCTGCTTTACATATACAATATCTTACTAGGGTGATGTGGGGTTTTGGAGCAGGAATTCTTATTTTTAAAAATCATAGTACATATTTAAGAATCTAAGTTCATCGGGGGGCTCATCCATCGTTTTCTTGACTAGCATCAATGAACCTATTCAATAAGCAATTTACCAAGTGCCTACTGTGTGCAAAGACACTGTGCTACTTGCTAGAAAATAAAAGAGTTGTTTCAGAAGTTCATACCCCAGAGTCTGTGAATTTTTTAAAACATACTTTATAACTACATTTCAAAGCTAATAGTCTCCTTTATAATCATATATTTATTTCATACACTGAAATACAATAATTATTCTAAGATAAGGTCCGTAGGCTCCACCAAACTGCCAAAGGGATCCATGACACAAAGAAGATTAAGAACCAATGGACTAGATCTATAGGAAATGAAGATAGGGAAAGATTAACAGATGACAATCCCTGAGTCAGAAAAGAAAATATGAAAAAAAAAAATCCAGACCTTCTCACATTCAGGTTTTGATAAACACACAGACTCTAGTTATTTAAAAGTTATGTTAGATATATAAACTATATGGGATTGCTTACTGTCTCAGGAAGGGGGGGTTAGACTTTGGAACTTCAAACTTTAAAAAATCATTTTAACATGTAATTGGGGAAAAAATGAAATATATATATATATATATATATATTTTAAAATTATGTTAGGTTCTCAGAAAGGGATATGGTTACAATTAGGATTCTCTGCCCCAGTTCTATTGTACCCCAAGGTATCTCCAATTATTTAAAGTTGGGGAGGAAGAATGTGAAAATCTTTAAAAATCTCAAGAGACAATTTTAAATTAATTTAAAACACAAATGTTCCATGCAGCCCTTTTGGATGAGGGAGCAGGAGTTTGCAAAATAAAACGAAAGATAAATTCAAACACCAAAAAACACTAGGGAACAATGAATGGTCTCCTTACAACATGGGTCATAACCATGAACCCAACAGTGGATAAAAGACCCTGGTTTTACTTCAGCTCTTTTTTAGGGAGAGTGGGGGAGGGGTGCAGCTAGAGATAACAAATTCCTTAAGAATAGGTAATTGTCTCTTTTAAAAATTAACTCTTTATAGTTCAGCTATGCACTCAGGCCCCCAAATCTTTTTAGTGAAGGAGGTCAATATCCTTGTTAAAAGCCCTGTAGCAAGTTAAAAAGAAAAATGTCAACAATGATTTTCAATTGCTGTTGCAGCCACCAAAAGCCATGTTTTGCTTTGAGCCTAGGACAAAATATAGAAGAAAAAACCTCTTTTTATTTACTATAGAAAGATGATTTACATTAAACTGACTTAGAGGTGACATTCTGAACACTAGCTTTATCACCTGGAACCTGCCCTCCCCCACCTTGGCTCAAGATGACAAATTACCAAGCAAGATGAGTATCATTTATTTGCTACTTATTGCCCCTCTATGGGCCTTGACACATACCGTTCTCTACATCAAAAGGTCCTCCCACCAACTTTGTATTTCTTTAAAGATCTGGCTAAAAAGTGATCTCTTCCAGCAAGCCTTGCTTGATTAAGACCATCTCAGTCACTAACATTTTTTCTCCCCCCCCCCAGCACTTACATAGTATTCACATTTATTTTATACATTGTGTTAAAATATTATTCCCTAATTCCTGTGTCTGGCCCCCCCCCCATTCTAGGCATCCTCAACAATCTTCTCCAGCTCAGACACTGTTATCTTCTAATAATAACTGACATTTACATAATGCTTTAAAGCTTGCAAAGTGCTTTTTAATCATTATCTAATTTGAGCCTCAGGAAAACCCCATAAGGAAGGCACTGTAGGTATTAATATCTCCTAGATACAAATGAGGGAAATGAGGATCAGAAACATTAAGTGATTTGCTCATGCTCATATAACTGGTAGGTTTTGGAAGGAGAATCCAAATTCATGTCTTCCTGAATTCAAATCTAAAGATTCAGGATGGCTCCTATTGGTATCCACCAGTGCCTAGTAAAGAGAACTTAGAATCCTTATATACTGAATTAACAGTCTGGCCCTTTACCCAGATTACTATTAGAGCCTGAACTAAATTAATTATTTAAATAACTAATTAATTACCTAACAAATCTTTAGTAGTAGAAATGCTAGACATTCAACAGAGCAAACTCAAGGCACAATATTTGTTTCTATATTTAAATGTGAGGCAGACATTAAAAGGACTTTGATTAAAACCGAAAAAACAAACACACAAAAAAACTCCAAGAAGCCCTGAAGAAGGATCTTCTGGATTCGCTCACTCCATGCTTTTCTATTATAGACAACATTAATTTTAGAGGTTCTCTCCAAGTACCCATCACTCAGTAAGCATTATGAAGTACCTACTACGTGCCAGGTATGGTTTAAAACATTGGGGATACAAAAAGAGGCAGAAGACAGTCCCTGCCCTCAAGGAGCTTACAATCTAATGTTGACCCAGTTAGCAGCAGACCACTTGCACCCAAGCAGCAAAAGGGCATCCTTTGGGGTACGAATGCCTTCTGGTTTTGGGGGAAATGGTGGAAATAAGGCGGGATGAGTAGGGGCCTTGTACTGGGCAAACAGCGAAGCAACTGAAGAGCAGGGGTGGGGAACCTATGGCACGGAGGCCATACTTGGCCTTCTGGGTCCTTGGGTGTGG